GGACTCTAAAATCCATGCTAGGGATGTACACTAAGAAGAGTGGCAAAAATTGGGATGAGTTATTACCATTTCTGTTGTATGTGTACAGGGAGGTACCCCAAGAATCCACAGCTTTTTCCCCATTTGATCTTTGTATGGAAGAAAAGTGAGGGGAACCCTCGATCTCATTAAAGATTCCTGGGAGGGAAATACTGAGGTAAAAGAAGAACCGGTAACTAAATATGGTCAGAGGTTTAGAAAAGAGTTAAAAGACATGATGGAAATCGTTCAAACCAATCTCCAAGACAGTCAATCCAGGCAAAAGGCGTGGTACAATAAAAATATTTTGTAAGCGGACTTTTGAAATAGGGGATTTGGTAATGGTATTAAGCCCTGCAAAAAAGGATAAAATGCAAAACTCTTGGGAGGGACCCTTCGAGGTAATAGAAGTGGCAAATGAGGACACGTATCCAGTTAAAAAGCCCCTTGATGATGCTGTCCCACAGCTTGTGCATGTGAACAGGCTGAAAGCCTATCACAACAGAGAGGCCACAGTAAACATGATTACTTGTATGGAAGGGGAAACTGAGGCACATCCACTCATTGATTTGATGACTGAACACCAAGATGGTTTAACTATGGAAAGCGTTGAGATCTGCAATGAGTTGACACCAGCTGAAAGGAGGGAGGTGTTATCAGTGCTGCAAGGATACAGTGAGGGGTTTTCCAACAAGCCAGGAAAAACACACATGCTAACCCACAAAATCCTTACAGTAGGGCCACAACCACCCCCCTTCCAGGCCTTACAGGGCCACTGGCAAGGTACAAGAACAAATTCATACGGAGATACACTATATGTTGGACCTGGGAGTGATTAAGGAGTCTGACAGCTCTTGGGCATCCCCTGTGATCTTGGTCTCTAAAAAGGACAACACTGTAAGATTTTGTGTTGACTATAGAAAGCGTAATGCTGTTACAGTACCAGATGCATACCCTATGCCTAGGACTGATGGCATGCTGAATATACTGAGCAAAGCCAAATACCTCACCACCTTTGATCTAACTCGGGGTTACTGGCAAATCCCTCTGGATGAGGATGCACAGCAAAAATCTGCTTTTATCACTGACATAGGCCTCTATGAATTCACTATGTTACCTTTTGGTTTAGTCAGTGCTGGTGTGACCTTCCAGAGGCTGGTCAGCAAAGTGTTAAATGGTTTATAAAATTTTGCAAGGACATATATAGATGACCTAGCGGTGTTCAGTGACGATCATAAAAAACACCTGGGAATTGTGCTGTCGAAACTCAAGGAGGCTGGTCTAACCGTAAAACCCCCTAAGTGCAAAATAGGAGCAGCCAGAGTCGCTTATTTGGGACATTGGGTTGGAGAGGGACAGATATCCCATGATCCCCTTCAACTGGAAGCCATTATAAATTGGCCTGTGCCCCAAACTAAAAGACAGGTCCAATCATTCATCGGTCTGGCAAACTAGTACAGAAGGTTTGTGTGGGGGTTCGACGACATTGTATCCCCAATCACAAACTTGTGTAAAAAGCACCAACCCAATAAGGTGGTTTGGTCAGAAGCATGCCAAAAGGGTTTTGATAAGATAAAGACAATCTTGTCTGGAAAACCCGTACTAGCCAGTCCTGACTTTGAAGAAACGTTTGAGCTACGTACAGATGTCTCTGACAGCGGGGTGGGTGCTGTGCTGGTGCAGACAGGGGAAGGTAACAAAACACCCAATTGCCTTCTTGAGTAAAAAGCTGTCACCAATGGAACAAAAATACTGTCATTGAAAAGGAATGTTATGCTATGGTGTGGGCAGTTAACCAATTGAGGCCCTAACTCTTTAATAGAAAATTTAGGATCCTGACAGACCATTCGCCCTTGGTATGGCTAAACAGAACCAAAGGCACAAACTCCAAACTTCTGTGCTGGAGCCTGATCCTGCAGGACCTTGACATGGAAATTATACACATAAAGGGAAAGGAAAATCTGGTAGCAGACGCCCTGTCCAGGAAAGAGGACCCCAGGCGCACTGCCTTCGAGCTAGTCCGTGACTAACCCTCTTGCAGTAAACGAAGGGGGGGAAGTGTGACATTGTGTACCTCGGGGAACACCCTACACTCATGTTCATCTTTATAAAATGATGGTGTGCTATCCAATGCAAAGTTTGTCATGTTGGGTGTCTTCAGAAGGCTCATGATGCCCTGAGTAAGGTTATAGGTTATAATTTCATGTATAGAGTTATGAGGCTGAAAATGTATCCTCATGGCTTAAAATAAGCTCAAGCAAAAACTCTCCCAGAGCAGAGAGGCAGTTCACACCTCATCAGGGCAGGTATGGGACAAATCCAGCTGAGTCTCATAGGAGCAAAGGACGCTGGCCTAGGCAGCAACAAAAGGATCTGTTGGACTCTTGAGAGAGTCACCCTCTTTCCTTTGGTCAGTTTGGGACTGCAATGAGGTAATGCTCACCTGACTCTGAAGGGGGTTGGGGGGGGGGGCAAAGCCAAGAGGGAAGAAAGAACACGATAAAAGGGAGAGACGTTTGCCATGCTCTTCCACCTCCATCTACAGACGTCACCACCAAGCGACTGAAGAGCTGATCAAAGGGGATCTCCTGGCTGAAGAGCAGCCAGGCAGCCTGTGGTGAGAAGCATCTAAGTTTGTAAGGGCATTGAAAGTGTTATGATCAGCTTAGAATGTGTTTTGCTTTTATTTCATTTGACCAAATCCAACTTGTTAGGCTTTGAGTTATAATCACTTAAAATCTCTTTATAGTTAATAAATTTGTTTGTTTATTCTACCTGAAGCAGTGTGTTTGGTTTGAAGCGTGTCAGAGTCCCAAGACTCCCCTTGGGATAACAAGCCTGGTACATATCAATTTCTTTGTTAAATTGACGAACTCATATAAGCTTGCAGTGTCCAGTGGGCATAACTGGAAACTGCAAGACAGAGGTTCCTAGGGTTGTGTCTGGGACTGGAGATATTGGCTGGTGTCATTCGGTTGCACAATCCAAGGAGCAGCTTACATGCCAGAGGCTGTGCGTGACCAGCCCAGGAGTGGGGTTCTCACAGCAGAGCAGGGTCAGGCTGGCTCCCAGAGTCAAGGATTGGAGTGACCTAGCAGATCACCAGTCCAGATAACACCAGAGGGGAATGTCACAACCTGCAACATTGGCTCTGTGTCTTGGGGGTGGTATTTGGCAGGACAAATGAGGTTCATGGATCTCTCTCTCTCACGCCTCTCTTCTCCCTGGTCCTTCAGTCAATTTCAGCCAGACTGAGAAATTATTTTAGTTTCCACAGACCTGTAGTGCATGCAGCAATGGAGCTGTTATGTCTTGGTTGTGTGTGTAAAACACACACAATCATAGAAATGTAGGGCTGATGGGACCTCAAGACATCATCTAGTCCCACCCCCTGTGCTGTGGCAGGACCTAGTAAAGCTAGACCATCCCTGTCCAAATTGTTTTTAAACGCTTCCAATGATGGGGACTCCATAACCTCCATTGGAAGTCTGTTCCAAAGCTTAACTACCCTTAGAATTACAAAGTTTTTCCTAATAGCTAACCTAAATCTCCATTTGCTGCAAATTAAGCCTGTTACTTCTTGTCCTATCTTCAGTGGACATGGAGAACAATTGATCAGTCTTCTTTATAACAGCCCTTAACATATTGGAAGAATATTATCAGGTCCCCCCTCAGTCGTCTTTTCTCAAGACTACATATACATTTTTCAACCTTTCCTCGTATGCCAGGTTTTTGTAAACATTTTATCATTTTTGTTGCTCTCCTCTTGCTGGGGCCTCACCAGTGCTGACTAGAGCAGGACAATTACTTCTACATATCTGAGAACTCTGCCCATGCACAGAGGCCGGGGCAGTAGTGTGTCAATGCATCTGCTGCCTGTTACACCCACGTGCGCCATCTTGTGGAAGCTTTACTTTTGTTCCTTCTTGTTTTGTTTTCCTCCTAAAATAAAAGTCATTTGTATTGAAAGTGCAGGATTGTTCACTGGATATAGAAAACCTTAATGAGTGTGTTATGTTAATTGCTCAAAGAAAACAACACATCAATTTGAAAACATGGACCAAATATCACTTCTGAAAGGGGTTTAGTTTAAGAAGCACAGGAATTGCCTGGGTAAATCCAGCCCAAGGCCCACCTCACCTAGTATCCTGTCTCAGACAGTGGTCAGTCCCAGATATTTCAGAGACAAGTGCCACCGCCCCACATCACCACCTGCACCCCCACCATGAAGGAGGAGTCCTAATCCCTAATGGTTAGAGTGTGGTTTAAACCCCGAAGCTGCAGGTTTAATATCTCTTCCAAAATATGTGTTAGCATTAACTCTTGTAACTTTGACTATTCTTGTTCTCCATATAAGCATCCAGTCCCTTTTGAATCTTGCTAAATTCTTGGCCTCAACATCTTCCTGGGACAGTGAGTTCCACAGGCTAATTACGTGTTGTGTGAAAAAGAAAAAGGGCTCCTCGTGGAATACTGTGCAAATCAACAGGAATAAGCGGGGGGCAGACTCTAGTCCTGTGTGTTTGCTTGGGCCAGATTCTGACCTCCCTTCTACTTGTATTAATCCAGAGTGATTCCACAGAGTAGCTGAGAGAAGGAATAATCCTCAAGAGTTGACCACACCACAAATGCATCTACAGCAGAGCATCCTCCTGCCACAGAATGTGTGTGGCCACATCTGTGTGGGAACACAAGGTTCTGAGCTCTGCACAGACATGGAGCTGATTCCCCCCCCTCGCTTGTTTTCAGATGTAAATATGTTCAATGTCTCACAATTGGATCATTAGCGCTTGCTCAGGCGGAACCCCACTGAAACCGAGGGGCTTGAGTGTAATGAGGAGCGACTTTGTGGAAGAACAACACTTGTTAGCCCTGTTCAGTTAGAGGAAACCCTCTCACGGAGGCTCTTGCACGGTACTTCGTATTTCTTTCCCAACTAAGAGCATTAGCGAATTAGTGACAGAGCGAGCCGGGAAACTTACAGTGGCATCTTCAGAACAGGAAGCGATTACAAAGTCATCAAAAGGGCTCCACTTGATGTCCAGGACATTTCCTCTGTGCCCGCACACCCTGGGGTAGTGAGGATCAAGCTTGCCTGTCTGAAAAGAACAGCAAGTCTCTGTTAGCGCAGAAAGGCTACATTTGGCCACAGAACAGCAGGAGGTCTCCATGCAGGCTGGCCCCACAAGACCTGAGCTAAGCTCTTTGGCACCCCACATAGCAAGATCCACAGTGCTCAGTTTACTGGAAATGGGTCCATGCTCGCCCTTAAAGCCATGTCCTCCTTAGCTCAGGCCACGCCTACACGACCTACTTACTGCAGTATAACTACTTCGCTCAGGGATGTGAAAAATCCACACTCCTGAGTGACGTAGTTATACCGACCTTAACCCCCCCCCATGTAGGCAGCGCTATGTTGACGGGAGAGCTTTTCCTGCTGACATAGCTACTGCCCCTCGCGGAGGTGGAGTTATTAAGCCGATGGGAGAACTTAGAGCATCTTCACCAGAAGTACTACAGCGGCACAGCTGCATCAGTACAGACCTGCTGTTCGTCTTTGCCTTGCCACACTCCCCCTGAGCACCTACAGGAGAAAAGCCTTGTGATGACTGAGTCCTGCCAAGGAATAGGGCAGCATCCTGAAGCCACTGACCACGCCCCAGATGGTAATAATGAGTAAGGAGCAGCCCGATTCCTAGCTCCCATCACAAGGGGGCTGTAATTGACTGGAATGGATTTGACTGCAGACAAAGGGCATCAGGAAGACTCTACAGTTCAGTGCCAACCCTTGCTAATGGAAAACAGGAAAGTGAGTCAGTAGTGAACAGAAGAACGGCCATACTGGGTCACAACACTGGTCCATCTAGCCCAGTGGCTTGTCTTCCAACAGTGGCCAGTGCCAGAATCTTCAGAGAGCATGACCGAATGCACTCCTGTACGCACACCATACACACCACTGTAAAAATCTTTGTATAAAATATGCCTCATGAGGTGGTATTTGAAAACACCGTGCGTCAATTATTGGATGGTACATTTATGTAGCAACATTATATGTAAAGTTATGAATTCCCTCTGTATGATGATGTTAGCACATGTTCAAACCCACACAGCCCTGACTAGGTAAAAGCACACGTCTCTCCTAAACAAAGGAGTGTGTATTTACCTCAGTTTACATATAAGTAGTAAGCAGAGTCCTTGAGACAGCAAGAGGGGGAAGTGGCAGGATCCAAAGCAAATCTGCTTTTCACCATACACAGGGAGCCACCTTCACTCCCAGACTCCACATTGCCTTCCTTGCTTCTTGACTAAACTTTGCTTTGAGGGTAATCCTCGGGAGAACCCACTTCAAAGGAGGACTGGACTGTAAAAGTGAGGGGCAAGAACACCCCAACGTATCCCTCTCTACCCCTCTCTCTCTTTCACCTAACACGACAAAGGAACCAGCCCTTGGACTTCGGGAGTGAGCCTGGCCTGAAAATTTGGTCAGCAATGCTACTGGGAACCTGTGGTAAGGATTTTACCTTGAACCAAGTCTAGTTTGTTAAGTTTTAGTAACTAGGAAGCATTTTATCTTTATTTCTCTTGTAACCTGACTTTAATGCCTTATACTTGTATTCAGTTAAGATCTAGTTCTTTGTAGTTAAATAAACTTGTTTTATTTTTTTAAATCTAAACTAATCCAGTGCTGCGTTTAAACAGAGCTGTTTGGGTAACTCCAGTTAAAGTCGCAAACTGTTGGATATTGACCCCTTACAGGAGCTATGGCCCTCTAATATCTGCACTGTCCAGCAAAGGGCTGGACACTGCAGAACACACGTTTTGGGGAAAATCTGGGACTAGGAGTGTGGTGGAGTCACCCTGCAAGTGGGTAACCAAGGCTGCTGGAAGCCAGAGTATGGCTGGGGTGTTGCTGACCAGCTGCTCAGGTCAGAATTGCTGGACCAGGGACTGCAGCTATACACTGAGACTCAGGGGGTGACCTGCATGCTGTTTGGCAGTTTGTGCATTTCCCAGGTTGGGAACTACAGCAGCAAAGCACTGTGAGGCATCCAAGGTTGCAGGGCAGGTGGTGACAACCCCTCGCTGGTCTGGATTGCACCCTGGAATATGGCAGAGGGAATGAACAGAACAGGGCACTTATCAAGTCATTCATCCCCAGTTGTCCAGTTCCAGCTTCTGGCAGTCAGAGGTTTAGGGACACCCAGAGCATAGTTTTGCATCCCAGACCATCTTGGCTAATAGCCATTGATGGACCTATCCTCCATGAACTGATCTAGTTCTTGTTTGAACCAAGTTATACTTTTGGCCTTCACAACATCCCCTGGCAATGAGTTCCACAGCTTGACTGTGTGTTGTGACACGAAGTGCTTCCTTATATTTATTTTAAAACTGCTGTTCAGGATGGGGGAGGCCCCGAGAGCAGCCCCCGGCCCGTGTCCCTGCCCCTTAGGCTCCCCACCCTGGGCAGGTGGAGGGTCTACAGCTTCCCACAGCTGCCCGACCAGCTCTTACCATGGCCCGGCTGCGGCTCTTCGGCCCCCAAGACCCCACCCCCTGGCCAGGCTGGAAGCCGGAGCTAGGTCAGGGTAAAAGATCAGCAGGCAGCCATGGGGAGCCATGTGGAGGGTGAACGGCTCCCCAGAGCTGCCCTGGCTTCTTGGGCTGCTCTTACCTGGACTGGGCTCCAGCTTCCAGCCTGGCTGGTGGGTGGGGCCTTGAGGGGAAGAGGAGGGGCGGGGGCTGTGCCTGTGGCGAAAAGTGGACAGTCTAGGCCCATCCATTTTCAAAAGTCGGAGGGCCATGGCCCCTTGGCTCCCTCTGTTCCGGCACCCCTGCACAGGCTCTGTGATGTGCTGTCCAGGCACCAAGAGCCCTCTCTTCTCATGCTAAAGTCTAAAGCAAGTTGAATACAGGACAGCTCTTAAGCATGTGCTTAACTCTCCTGAAGTGGGATCTAAATAAATAAATGTCAAATAATCCTCTCCTTTCTGTTGTCATGCTCTAGACCCTGATTCAGCAAACTAGGAAGCAAGAGTTTAGCTTTAAGAACATGAATAGTCCCACTAAAATCATGTGCTTAAAGCTAAGCATGTGCTTCAGTGCTTTGGAGGATCAGGGGCCTATAGTGCTCTGCATGACCATGGAATCTCCTCTATTCTTTAATCAGGGATTAGTTCAGAGGCCGAAAAGGCTCCTTGTCTGTGAAGACAAGCTAGAACCATGTAATTACAGAGCTATTTGCTCTCTCCCATTCTACGAAAGATGGTTATTATTTATTATTGTTTTGCAGTTGCTCCCAGAGGCATGGAAGGCACCCAGACGCCATGGTGATGAGCATCAGGATAAAAATGCAGACCCTTACTGTGCTAGGTGCTGTACAAACATGTAATAGATGGTCCCTGTCCCAAAGAGCCTCTGGCCCTACCATGCATTTTGAAAAACAGGCAGCTGCAATAACCAAGCCTTCCCATTGCCATCACGACCATCTGGGATCCCTGCTGCTCCACCTTCGCACTCCAGCAGGGGCGATCAGGAAAAGGGGCAGCCCAGGCTCCCTGGGTGCTGCTGGCCGTGCTCACCTGATGGATGGGTATCACGAGGAAAGCCCCGCCACCTGCACACTCTGTCACGACAGCAATGAAGTGGGGGTTGACAGCACAGAAGTGGTTGTCGTGCACACTGCAGGTGATGGGGACGCAGTCGTAGCACTTCTCCTTGCTAGCAGGCTTGCCGTACACATGGCGGAACTTGGAACTCCGGTACTGAGGGTGCCATGACATCTGCAGCAGTCAAAACACAAGACAGAGGGTGAGGCAGGGACCATCCCCTTGCTATCGGACATTGGCGTGGGTTTGAAATTCAGCCCTGCGCCTCCCATTGACTCATGCCTGCTTACATCTGCAGCGCAATCAGCCCCAGTACACATCTGTCTCCAGAACGCCAGGTCCTGCCCTGGGGGCAATGCACACATGCCCCTGGAGCTATTTCCCTCTCCTCTATTTTGTGACTTCACCTCCCCCCCTCCACACACACACACACACACACACACACACACACACACACACTTCCCCTTTCAGACCACTCATGGGCCCTTCTCCCTTTATCTTATCTCGCCCCACCCCCAAGCCCTTCCCAAGGCCACCAGCGCAGTCAGCCAAGCCCAGCCGTGCAGCCACACCCTAAATCAAACTGCCAGCAGCTCAGCAGACACAGCATTGTGCTCTCCTTCTGGAAAGAAGCCAGATCACTCCAATACTCACCTGTGATGGGACTGGCCACCTGAGAGCCCTTGCAGTGGCAAGAGATGCCAGGTGTTGTGTTCCTCCTAACACACACACACACACACACACACACACACACACTCTCTAAACTGCCTCTGCCAGGTTAGCCAGGTAGCGTACACCTGCAGAAGGAGTTCTGCCAGTGTAGGAACACCACTTCCCCAAACAACAGTAGCTCTGTCAACAGAAGCCCTCTTCTGTCGGAATAGCTGTCTCTACACTGGGGGGGGCTGTCGGCATGGCGATCACCAGGAAGTGTGGGGTTTTCACACTCCTGACTGACAGAGCAATGCCAGTTTAAGTTGTAAGTATAGCCCAGGCTTGAGAAAGTGCATGAACTGGCCATCCTGGACCCACGCGCTGCCAACTCCTTTCTTAGTTATGATGAGATAATTGGCTCTGTGGATGAGGGAAAAGCAGTGGACGTGTTATTCCTTGACTTTAGCAAAGCTTTTGATACGGTCTCCCACAGTATTCTTACCAGCAAGTTAAAGAAGTATGGGCTGGATGAATGGACTATAAGGTGGATAGAAAGCTGGCTAAATCGTCGGGCTCAACGGGTAGTGATCAATGGCTCCATGTCTAGTTGGCAGCTGGTATCAAGCGGAATGCCCCAAGGGTCAGTCCTGGGGCCGGTTTTGTTCAATATCTTCATTAATGATCTGGAGGATGGCGTGGACTGCACCCTCAGCAAGTTTGCAGATGACACTAAACTGGGAGGACTGGTAGATATGCTGGAGGGTAGGGACAGGATACAGAGGGACCTAGACAAATTAGAGGATTGGGCCAAAAGAAATCTGATGAGGTTCAACAAGGACAAGTGCAAAGTCCTGCACTTAGGATGGAAGAATCCCAGGCTCTGGTACAGACTAGGGACCAAATGGCTAGGCAGCAGTTCTGCAGAAAAGGACCTAGGGGTCACAGTGGACGAGAAACTGGATATGAGTCAACAGTGTGCTCTTGTTGCCAAGAAGGCTAACGGCATTTTGGGCTGTATAAGTAGGGGCATTGCCAGCAGATCGAGGAACGTGATCGTTCCCCTTTATTCGACATTGGTGAGGCCTCATCTGGAGTACTGTGTCCAGTTTTGGGCCCCACACTACAAGAAGGATGTGGAAAAATTGGAAAGAGTCCAGCGGAGGGCAACAAAAATGATTAGGGGTCTGGAGCACATGACTTATGAGGAGAGGCTGAGGGAACTGGGATTGTTTAGTCTGCAGAAGAGAAGAATGAGGGTGATTTGATAGCTGCTTTCAACAACCTGAAAGGGGGTTCCAAAGAGGATGGATCTAGACTGTTCTCAGTGGTACCAGATGACAGAACAAGGTGTAATAGTCTCAAGTTGCAGTGCGGGAGGTTTAGGTTGGATATTAGGAAAAACGTTTTCACTAGGAGGGTGGTGAAGCACTGGAATGGGTTACCTAGGGGAGGTGGTGGAATCTCCGTCCTTAGAGGTTTTTAAGGTCAGGCTTGACAAAGCCCTGGCTGGGATGATTTAGTTGGGAATTGGTCCTGCTTTGAGCAGGTGGTTGGACTAGATACCTCCTGAGGTCCCTTCCAACCCTGAGATTCTATGATTAGGAGTGACTTGCCTACCGCCTCTCTCCCTGCTGCCAGCCATACATGAGGCCTGCAATGGGTGGATCCAAATGGCACCCACCCAGGCCACAGGATGTTCTCAGGTTGACCTCAGCACCACCTGGAACTACACAGCACATCTCCCTGCTGTAATGCTGGGAAAGCAATTGTGACGGGGTGAGTCACAGAGACCCCCCCTTGGGACTGCCACCTGATGTGCTGAGACTACCTCTGAGCCGTTTTCCCTGCCAGCTTAGGACTTCAGTACCCTGTCTTGTTGAGCCAGACCCAGGTCTGAACCACATCCCCCAAAAGCTGCAGACTTAACAGAAAACAGCTTAGAAAGTGCTCCTGTCTCTAGCATCCAGATACCCAGTTACCAATGGGTTCAAACCCCAAATAAACCCGTTTTACTCTATATAAAGCTTATACAGGGTAAACTCAAATTGTCTGCCCTCTATAACACGGATAGACAGATATGCACAGCTGTTTGATCCCCCAGGTATTAGTCACTAACTCTGGGTTCTGTAATAAGCAAAAAGTGATTTTATTAAATATAAAAGGTAGGATTTAAGTGGTTCCAAGTAATAACAGACAGAAAAAGGAGGTTACCGAGCAAAATAAAACAACACATGCAAGTCTAAGCCTAATACAGTAGAAAACTAAATGCAGGTAAATCTCACCCTCAGAGATGTTCCAGTAAGCTTCTTTCACAGACTAGACTCCTTTCTAGTCTGGGCCCAATACTTTCCCCTGATACAGTCCTTGTTCCAGCTCAGGTGGTAACTAGGGGATTTCTCATGACTGCAGCCCCCTTTGTTTTGTTCCGTCCCCTTTTATAGCTTTGGCACAAGGCGGGAATCTTTTGTCTCTCTGGGTCCCCATCCCTCCTTCTAAATGGAAAAACACCAGGTTTCAGATGGATTCCAGTACCAGGTGACATGGTCACATGTCCTGTGAGACCCCAAGCCTTCACTCTTCCTGGCCTGACTCACAGGAAGGCTTGCAAGTAAACAGAGCCATCTACAGTCAATTGTCCTGCCTAATGGGAGCCATCAAGATTCCAAACCACCATTAATGGCCCACATTTTGCATAATTACAATAGAACCTCAGAGTTATATTTAATATTTCTAGTTTCAGATACAAGAGTGGTACATTTATACAAATAGGATGAATACACTCAGTAGATTATAAGCTTTGTAATGATACCTTACAAGAGACCTTTTGCATGAAGCATATTCCAGTTACATTATATTCACACTCATTGGCATATTTTCATAAAATCATATGGAGTGCAACGTCACAGCAATGTCTCCCTCCCTCTGATCCCAAGCACCTAGATCAGAGGCTGGGGAACCCTCCATTCACGGAGGCCTGAAAGTTGGGTTTTACCACTAAAAGGGAAAAGAGAGATTAATAAACCCAATAGGAACAGAGACATTCATTCCTTTGTAAGGCCAGCAGCTATTCTGCACCGGTTTGTTAGAGGATTGCACAGTACTTCAAACAGTGACCAAGTAAGATGCATAAGAGTCCATAGCTCATTGATATTGGCCCAGTTTGTGCATGGATAGTGAGACACCATGGGACTGACCTGTTCAATTGAAAATAGGCAGTCAAGTAAATCTCAGGTAGCGAATACAACCCAAGAATGGTAACACCCAACTCTGCTCAGAGGCACTAGACACCCCCATCAAAGCTATTCTTCCCATGGAAGTGTGATAATAGTACAGACTACATCCAGTGTGAAGATCCTCCTGCCGCACAAAGGCATTTTCTCATGCATGAGGGCCAGAGGGTGAAAGTGGCACAAAACAAACACCAAGTGAAAGTGGCACTCTAGCTTTCCTGCACAAGGTGGGTGGAATGCAATCAGCATAAGTGTACAAGTAAATTCAGGGTGAAGCCTGGCCCCCGGAAGTCCAGTGGAGTTCTGCCATTGGCTTCAATAGGGCTGGTTTTTAAGGTGCATTCAGTTTTAAACCGCCAGAATGTTATTAGTAACCCAGGACTCAAGCCACCATCTCCTTGCTCCAGTTTGACACCAGCCCCCAGGACTTTCACCAGGAATAATCCCTCACTAGACAATATTCCACATAAATACCTGGCTAAGCAAACCCGTGTGCCAGGCTAGGCAGTGAGTCCCTCGGCCTCTCTCCCACCATATATCATGAACCAATGGTTGGAAGTTGAAGCTAGACCAATTCAGACTGGAAATAAGGAATACATTTCTGACAGTGAAGGTAATTAACCACTGGAACAATCTACCAAGGGTCATGGGAGATTCTCTATCATTGGCAATTTTTAAATCAAGTCTGGCTATTTTTCTAAGAGCTCTGCTCTAGGAATTATTTGGGGGCAGGTCTTTGGCCTGTGTGCTACAGGAGGTCAGACTAGATGATCACAGTGGTTCTTCTGGTCTTGGAATTGACCATCCCAGGCCTGGCTCCTTCACAGACTTTCCTAGTAGCCCTTCTCAGAAGCCCCCATCACAGGAAACCTGCTGCATCAGCACTAGCGCTTTTATTCCTGCCACACAGCAAACAGCAGGAAAGTGCTTCTAAAGCTACAGTCGACTACAACAGGCCTTTCAGGAAGGTACCCAATGGCCAGGCTCTCCAGTGTCTCCAGAGCTGTCGACCCCTTTCACCTGCGGTGCCACATGATAGTGGGAAATGAATGTTGAGAGAGGAAGGTGTAACAGCACAGAAGTTCACAGCCACTGTTTGAAGGGAGGTGTCTACAAATCTTCTGAAACCTCATGTGTGTGCCCAGTGCCACCTGGGGAGCCCTCCTCAGCCTCTAAGCTTCGTGACGCTCACTACTGACATGTCAAACAGCAGGCCAAGCACTCCAACAATCACACATGCTCATGTGCCCACAGCAGATGTGATGGACAATAATAAGAGAGACATATCTG